AGAAGACAGTTTTTTTCTGTAGAAAACAATCCTGAGAATCTGAAGACATACACTTCCCTATTGAAAAATCCTCAGAAGCTGACGACCTATTCTTTATAGAAAAAAATATGTCCTCTTCTAAAGACTTTTCTATTAAAAATAATCTTTAAAAGCTGATGACAATTTTTTCAATAGAAAAGCAAAGCACAGAAGTTGAGGACAGATCATTTTTTCTATATGAAGGAAACTGTCCCTTGAAAAAAGTCCTCAGAATCTGTCCTCAAATTCTGAGGACTTTTTTCAGATTCTGAGGACTTTTTCCTTCATATAGAAAAAAATGATATGTCCTCAGCTTCTTTGCTTTGCTTTTCTATTGAAAAATAAGCAAAGCAAAGAAGCTGAGGACAGATACTTTTTTTCTATATGAAAAAATTCCTCAGAATCTGAGTTTTTTTTTATGGAAAAAAGTCCTCAGAATCTGAAGACAGTTTTTTTCTGAAAAAAAATCCTCAGTATCTGTGGAGAGATTTTTTTCTATAGAAAAAAAAAATATCCACAGAATCAGAGGACAGATTTTTTTCTATAGAAAAAAGTCCTAAGGATCTGAGGACAGATTTTGTCTATAAAAAAATATTCACAGAATCTGAGGACCGATTTTTTTTCTAAAGAATAAAGTCCTCATAATCTGAGAACAGATTATTTAAGTCCTTCGTAAATTTTATCAAAGAAAATATGTGTTCATCTTCTGACATCATCCAACAGAAAAATCTTCAGAAACTGAAGACAGGTTTTTCTTAAAAATAAATTCTCAGATTCTGTGCCTTTTTTCCAATAGAAAAAAATATTCTCCCCTTTTGAATACCTTAATTCAAACCCCCTTCTTTTTATTTCAGACGCCAAATGTGAATTCCTGAATCCCGGTGGTTCGGTCAAGGATCGCATTGGCTATCGTATGGTACAAGATGCCGAAGACAAGGGTCTACTTAAACCGGGCTGCACAATTATTGAACCAACCTCGGGTAACACCGGCATTGGTCTCGCCATGGCCTGTGCCGTAAAGGGTTACAAATGTCTGATTGTTATGCCCGAGAAAATGTCCAACGAAAAGGTGTACGCTTTGCGTGCCCTGGGTGCTAAAATTATTCGCACACCCACCGAAGCGGCCTACGATTCACCTGAAGGTTTGATTTGTGTTGCCCAACGTTTGCAAAAGGAAATACCCAATTCCATTGTTTTGGATCAGTATCGCAATCCGGGTAATCCTTTGGCACATTATGATGGTACCGGTGCTGAAATTCTCTGGCAATTGGACAATAAAGTCGATATGGTTGTGTGCAGTGCCGGTACAGCGGGTACCATAACGGGTATTGCCCGCAAAATCAAGGAGGAACTGCCCTCATGCCAAATTGTTGGCGTTGATCCTTTCGGTTCGGTTTTGGCTCGTCCCGAAACATTGAACGAATCCGATGTTCAATTCTACGAAGTTGAAGGTATTGGCTATGATTTCATACCCACCGTAATGGATCACTCGGTAATCGATGTTTGGACTAAAATCGGTGATAAGGACTGCTTCCCCATGAGTCGTCGTTTGAATGCTGAGGAGGGTTTGTTGTGCGGCGGTTCATCGGGTGGTGCCATGGCTGCTGCTTTGAGATTTGCCAAGAATCTGAAGGAGGGACAACGTTGTGTTGTCATCTTACCCGATGGCATTCGCAACTATATGACTAAATTTGTTTCGGATAATTGGATGGAGGCACGTGACTTTAAGGAGGTTAACAATGAACATCAACATTGGTGGTGGAATGTACCTGTAAGCGAATTGAAACTCAACACCCCCTTGACCATTAAGTCAGATGTTAAATTTGCCGATGCCATTGAGCTGATGAAGAAGAATAATTTAAATCAATTAACAATGCTGGATGAGGAGGATGGGTGAGTTAGTGTAGCAATCGAAGAATTGATCCAATAAATCGTTTAATTGATTACATAATTTCCAATTTATTACAGTTCCGTTTTGGGCACAGTCGGCCAGGAGACTTTGATTAATCAAATTGTTAGCATGAATCGTAAAACTGACGAATTGGCCCTGAAAGCCATCAACAAGCGTGTCATTCGCATACCCTCCTCGGCAATTTTGGGTAAATTGGCTCGTGTTTTGGAAGTGGATCCCTGCGTTCTGATTGTTGACAAAGAAGGTAAATTTTTAATTTTTACATTTATTTTTGAATGTCTGAAAATTAAATTGATTTGTTTTTTTGCAGATGGCAAAGATGTCCTCAAGGGTCTAGCCACTAAAATAGACGTAATGAGTTTTATTGCCAGCGGTAAACCAGCCCAAAATGGTGTAAATGGAACTCACTGAACTTAATTTTTATAAATATATAATTATACATTATATGTATGTAGTTTACATTAAAAAAAACAGATCCTTTTTTGGAAATAATACAATTTTATTATGACTTAACACAAATTCTAAATTGCTTTTTTCTATTAAAAAAATAGGGCTTGAGATACTCTTTAGAAGTTATTTAAAAAAGTCTTAAAGAAATCCAAGATTTAGGTAGTCATTAAAAAATTCTTAAAAATGCATGCTTGAGGTCATTAAAAAATCAAGATTGAGGTAGTCTTCGAGAACATTTCTTTAAAAAATCTACGCCTATGTTGGTCGTTAAAAAAATCTATACTAATAAAAGAGTAGAGTGATTGACTGACTGGCTGATTTAACGATTCATCACACCCAGAAGAAACGGCTGAAGCTAGAATCTTGAAATTTTGGGTAAGGGTCACTCTTGGTCTAAATGTGATAGATAAGGCTGCGGTTTTGGAAATTCGTACTAGAACGGTACGAAAAGTACTAAATATGACACCATTTGTATTTGGCGAACCGGTACAGCTAGAACTCTTAAATTTTATACGAGGGACACTGATGGAGTGTAGAATACATATAGCAAAGGGTTTTTTGGACATTCGAACTATAAGTGTGCGAAAAGTACTAAAATGTACTAATTTTGGTACAAATTCGGTAGCATGTGAATGGATAGAGCTAACAACTTGAAAATTGGAATACGAATTAGAGTGGAGATGTAGGGTCTATTTAAGGAGATGGTTTTGAAAGCGTCTATTCATGTGTACGAAAAGTACTATATGATACTATATTTGGTACAAATTTAATATGGAGATACAAATCGAGCTAGAACCCTGATGTTTAAAATTAACATTATCGTCGGAGTGTAGGATTGGAATATGTAGGTAGTTTTGGAAATTTGTTACTTACGTGTACGAAAAGTAGTAAATCGTACTATAATTGGTACAATTTAGATTTGGGTGAACCGATAGAGCGGGAACAATGAAATTTGGAGTCAGGATCACTGTATGGGTGTAGCATTGGGGTCAGGATTCAGTTTAAGAAATTTATACTTATGGGTACTAAATTTGGTACAATTTGAATTTTAGGTAAATCATGAAATTTGGAGTCAGGTTAACTGCTGAGGTGTAAGATTGAAATATGTAGGAAGTTTTAGAAATGTGTACTAATGTGTACTAAATTTGGTACAATTTGAATTGTGAGTGAACCGATAGATTTGGAATCTTGAAACTTGGATTTGGGATAACTGTGGGGGTGAAGGGTTGGGGTATGTAGAATGTTTTAGAAATTTGTACTAATGTGTACTAAATTTGGTACAATTTGAATTGTGGGTGAACCGATTGAGTTGAAATCCTGAAACTTGGATTTAGGATCACTGTGGGACGAAGGATTGGGTTAAGTAGGAAGTTTTGTAAATTCGTACTACTGTGTACTTTACTTGGTACAACTTGAATTGTGGGTGAACCAATTTGAAATCCTAAAATTTTAATTTGGAATCATTATGGGGGTGAAGGCTTAGTTAAGTAGGATGTTGTGGAAATTTGTACTACTGTGTACTAAATTTGGTACCATTTGAATTGTGAGTAAACCGATAGAGTTGGAATCCTGAAACTTGGGTTTAGAATCACTATGGGGGTGTAGGCTTGAGGTAAGAAGGTTTTAGAAATTCGTACTACTCTGTACTAAATTTTGTACAAATTAAATTGTGGGTGAACCGATAGAGTTGGAATCCTGAAACTTGGATTTAGGATCACTGTGGGACGAAGGATTGGGTTAAGTAGGAAGTTGTGGAAATTCGTACTACTGTGTTCTAAATTTGGTACAATTTGAATTGTGTGTGAACCGATGGAGTTGGAAACCTGAAACTTCGATTTAGGATCAGTGTGGGGGGTAGGATTGGGGTATGTAGAATATTTTGGAAATTGTACTACTGTGTACTAAATTTGGTACAATTTAAGTTATGAGTGAACCGATAGAGTTGGAATCCTGAAACTTGGATTAAGGACCACTATGGGCGTATATGTTTGTGGTAACGAGGTTTTAGAAATTCGTACTACTATGTACTAAATTTGGTACGCCTCTGTTGGTCGTTGAAAAAATAATCTTTAAAAATCCACACTTCTTCTGTTACGCTTTGAAAAACTATTCTTTAAAATATCCTAGCCTTCTCTTTGAAAATACCCTTTAAAAAATTCACATCTTAAAAATTCCAGACCTCTATTCAAATAAGAGGACAGGAAACAGCCTCTGTCACTTCTACACAAAATGAAAGTCCATTACAATTTAATTTTTTTATAAAATATATATTTTATTATAGAAAACCTGCATGTGTCATGGATGGGTGTATGCATTTGGGGATACAATTTGTTGTCTTAATTTATACGAGAGAAGGAGCATTTAGGTTGTGCTATCCATAAATGGTTAATACTTTTTTGTTTGCAATTTTTATTTTGTTAACTAATTTTTAGCTTTAATTTCGTATTCGATGCAATAGATCAGTTAAGTTTCAAAAATAAAGAGATTCATGAATTAATTTATAGAAGAATCTTCTTAAATACTGTGTTTTTCTAAATAGAAATAAAAAAGAATTGATCAACAATGTTTCATCAGGATACAGAAAAGAATTCGATGATGGCAAAAAACGGTAGTCTCCTTTTTAAACACCACGATTACTTAAATCCTTAACTTTGTAGATTCGCACCAACCAATGTTCCGTTGTATATGCCTCTTCCAACACATCCAATTCAAAATCTTTATTGCCAATTTCTGCAGCCCGAACACGATCATAACCTGGTGGTTTGCCGCCCTCGGTATATACTTGTCCAAAACGATAGTAGCACATTTTGTACATCAAACAGTTGAGTAGGGTTGGCGAACCTTCTTTATCGACACGGAATTCACCATTGGCAGCGTAGTAATCCTTCTCTTTAATATGAGCACCACGATCTGTACTGCCACCAATACGCACCATCCATAGGAACTTGTTAATGTCATCGGAAGAATAGCCCGTAAGGCCGCCGAATATCACCAAGACATAATCAACGTCAAGTTCACGCATTATTTCATAGGCTTTCTCCTCCGAAGAGGCCATGGCTTGGCCAACACGTGATATGTGTGTATTATTCCAGGTATTGTTATCCACGAGTATGGTACGATTTGCCATGGCTGTTATTTGATAACCATAATCCCACCAGGACATTATGCGGGCATCCTATAAAAGAAGAGAGGAAAAAAAATTGGCATTTTCAATTAATTTCAAATGAAAATATAAAGATTTAAAATATTGTTTAAATAATTATATTCAGCTTAGTTGTAGTACTCATTATGTGTCATACTCTTCCTATCAAGAATTACAAGTGTTCATCATATTGAAAATCTTCAAAATAGGGTCAAACATTTGAGGAGTGATGTTGTAAACTTACCTCAGGTGTATTCATTTGCAGCCAATAGTAGGCCTCACGAAAATCATCAAAAATTATACGACCGCCATCATGTGAACGGGCACTCAAAACAATGCTGGGCGAAGAATAGGCTTCCGAAGTCACCCATGTACAATGGAATGTGTAGACAATTAACATCATTGTTACAATGCCCACAAACGTGATGGCCACTTCCTTTTTAATGCCACCACTTTGTTGTTCCATCTTTTTATATTGACGTTTACTTTCAACTGGCTTCTTCTCTGCGGCCGATGCCACCTCTATCGATTGTATATATTTTGCCAATAAATGTGATACAGCAATGCCGGAGAGGACACACATAACCGGGGCCAAGACCAACATTAAACGTACCATAACACCAGCAAAATAAATACTAGTGACACCGTAGAGTATAATGAAGATATTGGCATCGGTTAGTTTGACAAAGCAAAAGTATAACCCAGCAGGGAAGAGGAATACCAGAATCTGAAAAAAATAAATTCAAATTAGTTTAAAGATTTTCTTCGAAATAAATTCTAAGTTCGAGAATCCAGAATGTTTAAAAATGGGTTAGGTATTGATGGAAAATTAGGAATGGAACATGTAGAGTTTTGCGGCACATCTCGATTGTTAAAAAAGACTTCTGAGATGAGCCCCCAAAACTCATTGTAAGGGATCATCAGCGATCAAAGTGTGTGTAATCAATGGGTAACATTAAGGTGTACTCATTAACGCTCTATGATATCATCATGAATGAGGATAGATATTTGGGAAATATGTGAAATTTGCAGTTAAATTTTAATATTTCATTGAAACCTACCTGTAGATCAAAATAGAATGAAGACCATGAGGTGGGTTGATGTTCCGAAACCGAGGCAATAATGGGAATGTGATTTTTGGCATAGGAGGGATCCAATAGAGAATAGAAACGACCAGTCCATGGCGACACCTTGCCGGTAACTGTCAATAGGATACCAACAACAAATGCCACTGTCAAGATCGTAGAAACCAAAGCCTTAAAAAGTGTCTCAAAATGATCGGCAGGCATGCGAGAACGTAGATAGTCGACAAAGGCATGGATTTGACATAGACCAAACACACCCAAGGCCTGAAAAAATTAAAAAAAAAATTTTAAAATCTGTAAACAAATTAACTTGTAAAATCTTCCTAACTTACCAACATATGTTCGGAACTTTGAATGGGTTGGAAACCCACAAATGATATTTGCATTGATAAAATCGTACCCAAACAATACAATGTACTATAGGCAATGTACACACGATGTGAAAAACGTCCGGTACACATTAAGGCCAACACGTGTAGGGGTATTAAATTAATAAGGAATACATAACCTCCCCAGGAGGAAACCATATAGAAATATGCCAATGCTGACATGGCAGACCAAAAAATGGCACCACTTTTAACCGCCTTTATCCATAGATAATAGGTTAAGAGCATACAGAATATAGCAATGCCCTCATTGTCATATGAGCCAGCCACTGAACGTGATATATAACCAGGTACAATGGAGATCAGGGCTCCAGCAACCAAACCAGCACCAGTACTCTGTGAAAAGATGAACAAAAAAAATGAAAATAATTAGAGATGCCATAACAATTTTAAGAAAAATATATTTAAATAGAAAATATCAGCTAGTTGTGGTACTCATTATGTGTCATACCCTTCCTATCAAGAATTATTAAAATTCATCACGAAATACATGAGGTTAGAAAATCGAACATAACCTCACATTTACAAAAGCAAAAAACATCAATTACAAACATATACTTACATGTATTTCCTTGGTCAGGGCATAGGTGACCAACGTGGTGAGTGATGAGAAAAATGGCGCCAAAAATACACAAACATTGCGTATGTCCACGGTGAAGTTTAATAGCCATAATATCCGGTATAGTGCAGCCGATGTTACCATCAACCCCGGATATATGGTACCGCCAATAATTCGCCCCAACGGATACCAGGCACGATCATCGAACCAATTGTGGAATTTATAGAAGCCATTTTCGGCCAAGAATCGTGTGGTACGATAATTGAAATATGGATCAAATTCGTGAATGACACTTTCAAAGCGCAGCACAGAGAACAACCGCGTGGCAAATGCTGTCCAAGTACAAATGAACGAGAAGCAAGAAAAGGAAATAAATGAGAATACAATTATAAGGGTTCACTAGATGCGATTACTTTTTTTATTTTGGGAAGTGATAAGAAAATAGGGTTGTAGAGTAGATACGACTATCTTAGATAATTGATAATCAAATTGTAATTTAAAACCGCATTTACATTATACCTTTTTTACCGGGTTAAACTCCACTATGAGGATTAATTTGACATATATTCAATGGAATTGACAAATTAGGTCCACTGGATTTACAAAATCCCAATATAATGTAAATGAACTATAATAGTATATTTACATTGTACTGGATTTCGTCAACACAATGACTTTAAATTGTCAATTCCATTGCGTATATGCCAAATAAAACTTTATATCGTGCCAACAAATCGAATAATGTGACATGACATGAAATCATATATTTTGAGTGCAGATCTCCGATTTTATCGTCGTTTGATACTGAATAGAAACATATTGTAGAAAATCTCTCTACCATAAAATATCAATATTGGTTCATATTTCGATATATATACAGTGGGGGTCAACTAATTAGCACACACGTGAAGGAACATGTTTTTTCAATAAACCTCAATTCGTTTGGAATATTTTTAAATAATTTTTTATTCAAAAAGCTAATGTGTACTGTACAACTTTTGAAACCACACCTTAAAATTTAAGTGCCGTTGATGGTAAAAAATTATGTACAAAAACAACTTCTAGTTTAATAAATTCTGTAAAGACTATTAAAATTGGCATCAATTTGTACTGTATTTTTGGAACTCAAGGTGGCTTGTTCCATCTAATCAAAATACATACTTTGTGTATGTTTGTGTATTGTTTTAAATACTGTCAAATAAATTTAAAATAAATTGAAATATATTCAAATTTAATTGAAATGAAACTCTAATTTAGTAAAAACGATCAGATTTTTCTGAAATTTTTTCCAGAAATAGGTATTTTTACCTTAATTAGGGAGATATCTTTTTTTCTTGGGCCACGTACCGTTACCCGGTTATATCCGGTTAATATAAAATGGGTATCATTTTAAGGGTAAAATACCTTTTCATTGAGTGGTGATATGATGGGATGCGATATATAAATGCATCTGTTGTGGATCAAAAGATATGGTCCTTAGAACCCTATAAAAATAAGGAAAATCTTTCTACATGACAGAATTTCGTTTTATATAGCATGGTTTTTTGTAGGCAGAAACTCCTAAATAGAATTTTTTGTGCAGCTGGTCTTCGGCCGGTGATCGGCTACGCGACAGAATCTCTTTTTAAATAGAATTTTTTTTTTTTTTTGGGTTGTTCTGATGTTTTTAACGCGTCCATCTGGAAGTAATTACTTTCTTATGGATGAAACAAATATTTCATGGTACTCCCTACTGGAGTTTGGAAAGAAATCATAACATTTCATTCATTTTTCGCGTGTTTTGGTTATGTGTTGAAAAACTGTCAAATATACACAACCACTTGTTGCGTATATTTATTTTATATTTGGCAGAAGGGGCCACCACCTATATAGTTGCTTTTTTGTTATTCATCTCAAGTGCCCTGCCTTGTAACGTCTGTCACCTCAGCCCCGTGTAAAAGCATTAGGTACAATGCTATTAAAACGTTACCTAAAATTCAACGAAGCGTACAAAAATATTCAACTTCCCCACTATGGCAAAATGTTTTGTACGACCGTATTACCCAAATACGTCGAATCCATTTCTCTTAGCGAACTAAACAAATTCGCGAAATAAAATTGAAAAATTACAAAATGTTTTCAAATATTTCATATTCTTATTGAAAAGAAAAATATATTTCTTTCTGTTTTGTTTCTTTTTTTTAACAAAAGAAAAAAACAAAACTACGTTCTGTCATAGTTGAATTTTTTTCAACTTGAAAATTCGTACGTCGACGTATTTCGGTAACATTCATATAAATGCATGTGTTCTACTTTTGTGGTGAAAAACGTCGAACGAGCTAGTTTAATTTTAGGTAATAGCCTAGACAGACGACAGCCTTAATTTGCATTAACAGCCTTAATTCAAATTAACTTGTACATTATCCTCATTTTTATTTGTTGTTAATGCACAAAATCAAACTGAATTTATACTGAATTAAGCAATTTCAATATGGCAATGCTGTTTTTTGCATGTTTTTTCAATAAACCTCAATTCGTTTGGAATATTTTTAAATAATTTTTTATTCAAAAAGCTAATGTGTACTGTACAACTTTTGAAACCACACCTTAAAATTTAAGTGCCGTTGATGGTAAAAAAATATGTACAAAAACAACTTCTAGTTTAATAAATTCTGTAAAGACTATTAAAATTGGCATCAATTTGTACTGTATTTTTGGAACTCAAGGTGGCTTGTTCCATCTAATCAAAATACATACTTTGTGTATGTTTGTGTATTGTTTTAAATACTGTCAAATAAATTTAAAATAAATTGAAATATATTCAAATTTAATTGAAATGAAACTCTAATTTAGTAAAAACGATCAGATTTTTCTGAAATTTTTTCCAGAAATAGGTATTTTTACCTTAATTAGGGAGATATCTTTTTTTCTTGGGCCACGTACCGTTACCCGGTTATATCCGGTTAATATAAAATGGGTATCATTTTAAGGGTAAAATACCTTTTCATTGAGTGGTGATATGATGGGATGCGATATATAAATGCATCTGTTGTGGATCAAAAGATATGGTCCTTAGAACCCTATAAAAATAAGGAAAATCTTTCTACATGACAGAATTTCGTTTTATATAGCATGGTTTTTTGTAGGCAGAAACTCCTAAATAGAATTTTTTGTGCAGCTGGTCTTCGGCCGGTGATCGGCTACGCGACAGAATCTCTTTTTAAATAGAATTTTTTTTTTTTTTTTTGGTTGTTCTGATGTTTTTAACGCGTCCATCTGGAAGTAATTACTTTCTTATGGATGAAACAAATATTTCATGGTACTCCCTACTGGAGTTTGGAAAGAAATCATAACATTTCATTCATTTTTCGCGTGTTTTGGTTATGTGTTGAAAAACTGTCAAATATACACAACCACTTGTTGCGTATATTTATTTTATATTTGGCAGAAGGGGCCACCACCTATATAGTTGCTTTTTTGTTATTCATCTCAAGTGCCCTGCCTTGTAACGTCTGCCCCGTGTAAAAGCATTAGGTACAATGCTATTAAAACGTTACCTAAAATTCAACGAAGCGTACAAAAATATTCAACTTCCCCACTATGGCAAAATGTTTTGTACGACCGTATTACCCAAATACGTCGAATCCATTTCTCTTAGCGAACTAAACAAATTCGCGAAATAAAATTGAGAAATTACAAAATGTTTTCAAATATTTCATATTCTTATTGAAAAGAAAAATATATTTCTTTCTGTTTTGTTTCTTTTTTTTTAACAAAAGAAAAAAACAAAACTACGTTCTGTCATAGTTGAATTTTTTTCAACTTGAAAATTCGTACGTCGACGTATTTCGGCAACATTCATATAAATGCATGTGTTCTACTTTTGTGGTGAAAAACGTCGAACGAGCTAGTTTAATTTTAGGTAAGGCTGTTAATGATAAATATTTTAAAATATTCTGAAAGGTGTCCTTAAAATACTTTGTTCTTAATCACATAAGTTAAGGCACCATTAATACATTTTTAAAGAGAGCGACTTCACAGTCTCTCTCACACACAGGGCTGCCATATTTGCCGATTTATCGGCATTTTGACGATTTTTCACTCTAAAAATGGAAAATGCCGATTTTCCGATTTTTGCCTCAGAATTGCCGATATTTCAACAATCGACAAAAATTGTCTAACTTTTTAATTTAAGGGGACCCCCCCCATTCTCGGGGTCAAAATTTTTGTTGATATAATTCGAATCTACACTGATTAAAGAATGTCTCTACAAAATTTCAAGTGAAAATCTCAAGAACTGTTGAAGATATATCCGATTTATTGTGTCAGCATCAAGTGACGGCTGAAGGGCTTCTCAAACTTTAAACGCGTTTTTCTCTAAACATTTTTTTGCGAATGGCGGGCACGATAACTCAAAAACTAATAATCCAATCGGTTCCAAATTTTGCAACGTTTCTCTGGGAGTGTATAGCTCTCGTATGAACTAGGATAAAGTCAATCTGTGAAGATCTTCCTTATTTTTTAACTTGGTTTTTGGTAAAAAATCCGCGATTTTTCAAAAATATTTTTTCAAAGGGCCACCATTTTCTTAATTTTAGAGCGAAGTCAATAATCCTAGTTCATACGAGAGTCAGACATGTACTCTTTCTAACACCGTTGGAATTTTCGGATTCCGATGTTCCAGTGAGGAGTTATCATGCCCGCCATCAAAAATAAGGACTTTTCTTTAATTACAAAAAACAACAACAAAACAATAACAAATTTTTTTTGTACATTATTTTTCTTCTCTTTTAAATCTTCAATTATATATGTGCAAAGTTACAAACCTTAACAAGCATTGGTATTGATTTACCAGCCCATTGAAAATCTTGAAAAAATAAAATCGAGAATGGGGGGGTTCCCTTAATACGGCGTTACCATACAAACATATAAAATTGGCAGCTTTAAATCATTATAAATATCGGCGACTCGCCGCGGCCGTTTTCAATGGCTTAGATATCTGCATTTTTTGTCAGCATTGTACTCTGTCTAGTTTACATTTTACATCGAATAAGGCAAAATTAAAAATAAACGAATAAAAAGTGCGCACACGAAAGAAAGATCTCACTAGTGTACATAATAATTACTATATTAAATGTAGAAAAATGAATCTTTTATGTTTTTTTTTTTATACAGAATTGAATTTTTTTAATGTAATAAACAATATTGATTTGTTATAAACCAAAAAATATGAATTTATTTATAAATTATATGCTGCCGATTTTTTGCCGATTTTTAAAAATACAAATGCCGATTATGCCGATTTTTTTCTGAAAAATTGACGATTTTTCATGAAATTTAACTGGCAGCACTGCTCACACACACTAAATAAGACTCTTTTTGTTGCTTCTTCTCCCCATCCCACATTCGTTTATGCAAAATTCTAAATAACCGACATAATATTCAATTTAATACTTACACAAAACGGCTGCTATTATTAAAATAGCCATTTTAACAAGATGTTCCTGCTTTTCCCATGTTAGGAATTTGGTCTTTACCGATGGATTTGCAGTTTCAACTGCCATTTTTGTGCAATTTCAATATTCAATTTACCACCATACACCCACTTAATAACACACAAAAGACCGCAATGGGCAACTAACAATTTACTGTGAATGACGTGTTCTCTGCCTCTTTTTAATTCTTTTTTTGACTCTCCGTTTTGAGTTTTTCGCTATCGGCAAATCACCGGTGTCTGTCTGATTTCACATCGATGTTTTATCCACTTATTTTCTTTTTCTAAGCGATTTTTTGTTAATCCAACTTATTCCAGTATCATGGCTCAGCGTTTTCAACTAATTTTTGTATTAAAAAACCTTAAACTTTTCACAAAATTGCAAAGAAACACAGACGCACTGCACTCCCATTAAGAGTGCCAAGTTACACTGAATTTGCTATCAACGGCGTGTAGTAATAAATCATAATGGCGTTGTGTTACCTGAACGCCGTTGTTATGTCGTTTAGGGGCAATGATTTTATTCTTTGAAAAAAAAGTAAAAAATAACGGACAAATTAATACTTTAAAGGCCGAATATCAAATGTCCTACCAAAAAGATAATGTGAATCGCAACGTAATGATATTCAAAATTGGTATTGTAAAATTGAGACCCCGTTTGCATGTTCTGGAATGATTTTTGAAAGCAAGTTTGAGCCAAATCGTTAAAAAAGCTGAGATACGATGACGAATTTTCCTTTATGATATCGAAAAATAGTAAAAACTCTTGCAGTACGGGAACAGACCAATAGTGTGTACGAGGGCGTTTGACGTTATTCACCACAAAATAAAACACATGTATTTATATGAATGTTACCGAAATACATCGACGCATGGTATAATTATTACAAGGTAGGGCACAGCTACCAACTGATTACAATTTTTTTTCTCAAGGTGGCTTGTTTTATTTATTTATTCATTTTAATTTCAAAGTCCGAGGATCACATTGAAGAAATTAATAATCTACATTTTAAAATTGACTTATTGATTAAACACGACAATAAAAGCGGACAATAAATAGTAACCCATCTACATTTCACTAATTTTTAGAACGAAAACTAGCAAAAGTAGCAGTTAGCTACAAAAAAGTCCAAAAGAAATATCTGTCTCCAGACTAAAATTCTACTCGAAAGTCGAGCAGAAGTAGTACTTAAGCAGAATAAAAGTATACATAAGATCATGACATAAAATGAGTACAAAAATGTTTATAAAAAAGTTACTTGAAAATTGGTATACAGAAAAATATATTAAAAATTAAATAAAATATATAAAAAAATAATTATTATTAAATAAAAATGAAAATATAATTAATTTAGAATAAAATCTACTCAAAAATGTGCCAAAAGGCAGTAACAAAATTACGCAATCACAAAAATAATATAAAGATTTGATTATTAGAGAGAATTCAAACGAAAATATGCATAGAGGCGGCGGCGATAAGCATAAGGCGATAGGTGGAAGTATCTCAAAGGGTGTGGCAATGTATTAAATAATCTAGCTACTCTAACATAAAATGATCGTTCCGAAATTGATGTTAGTTTAGGAATTATAAGCTGAGTATTTCTAGATGATCTGGAGAAAATAAAACGCTCTATTAAAACTAAAGGGGAATTGCACCTATTAACTTTATAGAAAGGCAAAATACAACGCCCTACTACAAAATCATGAAATGTACATCCAATAAAATCAAAAACATATGGTGACAAATGCTCACAGACATTAAGTGAATATACATAACGAATAATACGATTAAATACTAACTGAACCTTCCTAAAAACACCAACCAAAGTTCCCGAGTAGACTTCAATACAATATAATACTATAGGCATTATTAATGCATGCGCCAATTTTATCCTTATTTCCAACGACAATGAAAGCTCAACACTATACAACTTTCTTAATAGAAAATTTACTTTCGACACGACAGAATTAATTTGCATAGTAAAATTAAGGTCTTTATCAAGCCAAATACCTAAACATTTAACATGGTCAACAAACTCAATATCAACATTATTTAAACGAATGTATACCGACATAAAGGAACATGATCCAAACTTAACCGCTTTGGTTGTTCCATCAAATCAAAATAAATATTTTGTGTATGTATGTGTATTGTTCAAAATAAATTGAAATATATTCTCTTTCGGGCCGACTTCGACAGTCCCCTGCCTTCTGTCTTTGTGGATTCTGATGTCTGAGACGTCTCAGTACTCAGTTTACCCTTTGGGGTGCTGAGGGCTTAGACGTCTCAGGCATCAGCTTCCTGGATGTACCGGGGCCATCAGCAGGTTTCTCCTTCTTAGAAGGGACTACCGCCGTGGTCTTAGTACTGGGTCGGGGGATCCTGTCAATCAAGAAGTCCCTCTCAATGTCATCAGGATAGTTCCTAGAGAACTTCCTAATGAGTTTGAGGTTCCTCTTGATTAACAGGAACTCCTTACCCGTGATGGAGTCGCTGTCCCGTCCAATGTACCGTTTGCAGAAATTGACTGCTCTCCGATACATTTTCTTGGCAGCGATCTCCTTAGCGTCAGCTTGTCTATCAGATAATGGTACCGATGAATCATCCATCTTAACGATGGGAGCCTCATCGGTGCCAGCATCTGCTTCGACAGACAACTGCCTTAGAAGCCTCGCGACGTCACTGCAGGCCGTGGAGGTTGAGTCAACGTCTTCAACCTCGCCAGGGTTTGCCTCCTTAGTCAGCCGAGGGGACCCTCCTTGCTTCAGGGGAGACATCATGGTTTCTACCGTACTTATCACCGTGGTTCTAATAACGGTGGTTTCCATAATGTCATCCTCGTCCGACAAGAGAGAGTCATCCCAGAGCTGATTTGGGATGCTCTCCTGACTGAGGCGGAAGGAGCCGGTTTCCTCTAGAAGGTCGAGGAGAAGATTCGACTGCCTCTCCAGGCTCGCATTTACGTCATCGAGAGATGGACAGGTGGCTAAAGATAGGTCCAGGGGAATTGCTTGGGTCGTCAACACTTTGGGGGAATCATTGATGTCTGACCTTGTAGAGTTCGAGACTGAGGGTGCCAAGGCAGCCACACCAACATCAGTCGAAGGTTCGCATTCATTGTTGTTTTGTTTTTTTGGGGGGGGTGTATTAAAAATTGGCTCCATAAAAAGTGCTGTTAGTGAGGATTTGAGGTCGACCATGGCATAGCCTCTTACCATGGAAAGGACTTGGCAACTAAGCCTGAAACACTTGTTGAGGCGCCCAGGTATCAACAATGCTCCGTTCTAATACAGTCGGTACCCTGACTGCAAACCGTGGAACGCTGATAGGCACGAGGTCGCATGACACCCCAGCGTTAGGGGAGACACTTTAAGAAGGTAGTGTCCCAAACCTTGAGATGGATATATGGGAGGGGCGCCATTCTCGCCTCGTCGACTCAGGGATCATTGGCACTCGGTCATTTCCTCCGAGACTCTCCCCCTGAGCCCGCTGATTGTCCGCGACTGTTTATTGGTTATTAACAGTTACCCAACGAATGGTGTTGGGCTTTCCACTATCCGCAACCTGTGGACGCGTCCGATAGCATTCAGCTTTGCTCCCCGTAGGCGGATGCCGTTTTATTGTACCATGGGTACAATCCTATGATATTAAAAAATAGTAAAAATTTTTAAAAATTTGAGTCTAGCAGTACGAATCAAACATTTATATTCGACTTTACCTTTACCTTCGCAAAAACAATAGAATCGATTGTAGATTGCTTGTTCTTGCGATAATGAACGATTTTTTACAATAAGTCAATTCATCGATTAGTCGAAGAAAAATTGACTTACGTATTCCTAGTTTTTGCTAGCCCCGAAAGCTTATTTATCAATAAGCTTATTATTCCATGAACTAGTTTTCGTTCCGGATCTACCCAATCTACCCTACAAAGTTTCAAAATTTTGTAAATATTTTCATGTAATTTATTTTCGATAAGCACTCTCAATTGTTAGGGATGGAACAAATTTCTTGGTTATTCAGAGAGTGATTCGAATTGAACAACGTACAAAAGTCGGTGTTCGCTCAGACAATTTTGTATGGAGAACTATGTAATTACTTCATAATTAAGGGTCGAACCACGAATGAGAGAGGGAACAACACTCGTCTGTACATGGCATTAGACTTTTCAATACAAAAAGTCGATTAATCGAAAGTCGATTTACTTATCCCTAATCATAATTTGCCTAAACCTCATTCGTAAACAACACGGTTTTCCATTTCAATTATCATCCCACCATTTCATTCGTATACTTTCGGTGATCCATTTTGAGTTCATCTTTATCGGCCATTTTTTCTTCTTCTCTCCTTCGTTTTTCAATTTTTTCAGTCGTCGTTTTTATTTTTTTTTTGGCGAAGGATTGCGTACGACATCGCTTGGTCTTGGCAGAACGACGATTAACAAGCGAATTTTATGAAGGCTGGAGTCTTGGAGGCTTCCCTCTCATTGTAACAACCGTGAAGTGAAAAAGTCCAGAACAGTTGGAAACATTTTTAGAGTTGGGCAATCTAGTTCACTTAGCGGATCGATCTTTCTTTCCTTTGATCCATATAATTCCTTTACTCAATGCAGTTCATTTGCTCTTTATAGTTCCTTTGCTTCAAATAGTTCAAAAAAGGAACTGGATCAAAAAAGGAACTATATTAATTAAAGATCTGGAACTAGTTCCGATCGTTCCTTTCTCGGAATAGTTGCAATGAACTAGTTCGTTCCCGAAAGTCGAAAGTCGATTTACTTATCCCTAATCATAATTTGCCTAAACCTCATTCGTAAACAACACGGTTTCCATTTATCGGCCATTTTGTCTTCTCCTCCCATTCGTTAGCAAGTGGAACGCTTTTCAATTTTTTCGTACGACGTCGCTTGAGTCTTGGCAACTACCAACTACCCAACTCTACCCGTAATTGTATTGTATTGGTGTATTGGAATGTATATCATTTGTTGTTTGTGTTATTTAATTAATATTGAATTGTATTAATTCTTAAAAACAATAACAAATTCAAAAAATTTCATGTCAACATTCAACTGGAAATTGGACAAAAAAATTAAAAAAGCTGTCAATATTACAACAGAGAGACTGTAAACAACAGTTGCTTTGTGTTGTCTTTTTTTAAGTTTACATTTTTTTTGCAAAAAAGTGCGTGTATTGGTGTCAGTGTGTGTGTGTGTAGAGGACCAAACAGAACACAACACAATTTGATGCCCCTGGATTTAGTTGGTTGTATTTAAAGGAGCAAGGGAGTAATGTCTTTTAATGCGTCACCATCAATGGGCTCGAATTCAGCATCCAGCGGAGTGCCAGTGCCGACCTCAGGATGTCGTAGCAATTATAAAGATATTTATGTTTTACTCGAACGTTTGTGTAAAAGTTTTACAGGCGCCAAAGGCAATCACAGTAAGTTTAATTTTTTTTCTTTTTTTTTACAAAAGTAATTTTAGTTTTGACAAATATTTTTATTTTAAATGTTATCGTTAACGAAATTTTGGAAAATACATCAACTTATAGAGTTGGTCTTAAGGTTATCTTGTGGGTTTGCATTTTAACGATTTATCCGCGTACACTATTTATTTAGATATGGTTTCTTGTTCGTTTCAGGGGATATTTTACGCCATGTAACCCAATACATATCAAATTGCCCCTCAGCGTTGGGCTCAACCATGCCCTATGATGAATCTTCCCTGCTAACGAAAATAACACAACATCTGAATGCAGCTCAGGCATCAGGTACTGCTTCCATTTTAAAAGCATCGAACAGTAGTGGTTCTTCAAATAATGCAGCCTTGTTCCTTAACCTAAATGAACAATTAAAATCCAGTGTGAGTATAATGAAATAAATATATATGGTATCTATAATGAAGCTTTTACAAATTCAAGATTTGCTAAAAATAGATTTTATTTTGATATTCAAAGAAACTAAGAGGGGGAAAATATCACCTAAAGGTTCACCACGAGCATGAAAATATCCGTTTTCGTGTATGCAACATGAATGTTCTATATTCTCCATATCATTACGAATTCATGAATCGGCGCTTTCATCATCACATATCTGAAATTCTTCAAATGATTTGACATCCAATAAAAACCAACCAAAAACCCACATTCTAACTTTGGGCCAATATTGATAATTTTTGATATGGAATTTTAATTCGCAATGAGAATTCAAAATATAAAATTACAGCGAATTATGTTGGAAAAAATTGCCAAAACTACCCAAAATAATGAAATTTGTGAGGCCCGATATATTGAAGTTATACCAAACATGGACTGATATATTCAATTTGCAATACCAAAAAATTTACAAATATTAGCAATAAACTTTCAAACTACACACCACTTTTTATGGCATTACAAGTACAAAATTGCTAGTAAATGTTGCCGACAGTTGTTTACCGCCGAGTTGTTTACCGGGTTGACCATCTGTGGAGAGGTAAAGTCGGACATTCAAATCGCTTAGTATTACATTTATAAAAATTTTAAATTTCGACCCTTCGCGAGGGATGAGCCGATAAGTGCCAGCTTACTACACTATACTGGCGTGGTGATAATGTAAGGTTGTGCAAAGTTTTGTTGAAATCGGAAAGTCGGTTAGCAACAATTTGTGTGGGAGATACCAGAAGGAGTGGAACGATATTCTCCATCTTTGAATTTGATTTAAGTTTGGAAGAAATAATACGGGACGGACATTTGTAATTCGACTGAAAATTGTGTGAATGGGATATGGTACAAAGAAACATGGGTCTAAGACCAATATTTCAACGTGTCACATTTTTGCCATATCGAAGTTTATGTACCCTCATTAGCCATTAGGCTGAGGGTCCTGAGGCTGTCATAAACATCAAGGTGTAGACACACATCGAAGATGGAGAGGCGATCTTAAAAATCGCTCTTTTATTTTCCGAATCCCATGACAATGACACGTCTGCTTGGAAATCATTTTATAAAGACATTTTTATTAAAAATATATATTTTTTTACAGCAACTGGAAGCCCGCCAACGCAATGCATTGTTAACATTTCTTTTATTTATGGCTGATTCGAAGTACACATCAGAAAATGGTGGTGGTTCAAGTAATTCCACAGCTGCACCGACACTATCGCGCACACGTTATAGCAATCCAAATGCTTCCTTGCCACCGAATAATACCATACAAACATTAAGAAGTCACACATTGCAAAAGAACCAACAATCAGCCACAATGATGGGCATGGGAAATGGAGGGGTAAAATGACATCCAAATGTACTTTTTAAATAACATATATTAATATATTTCCCACCCCATCTCTCTTGTAGGTATCTGGCATTTATAATTCTTCCGATATCAGTCACAAAATATCCGTTTTACGTCAATCCAATTATCAAACTGGAAATCATAGTGGTTCGGAAAACGATACAACTTCGAACAGTATGATACCCACAGCAGCAAGTACACAATTCCCCCTAAGGGCAGGAAGTGTTGGTCCTGACACGAATAAAATGCTGGAATCTCAAAGCAATATCAACGATGATATTGTACAAAATGTCATATATGCTTTTACCGGAATACCAGGAAAATATCTAAAGAAAGATGTGGTTTCGGGCAAATTTAAATTAGATGTTAAGGCAAAACATTTGAATGTTGTACAAGCTGGCATGATGTTACGCCTAGCTGAGCTAGGCTATTATCATGATTTGGTTAAATCATATACAGATACCAAGAGTGGTCTATGTGCCTTGGGTTTAATGGGCCAGGGATTTATATCGGCTCTGAGAGCTGAACTAACAAAGTATTATGGTATGGTTGCTCTGTTACAGGAACAGCTTAATAAACAGAAACAGTGTGAAAAAAGTGGTACATTACACAACATAACAACAAATCGTCAGGAACGTTTGACACTAATGAAAATTCTTGTATGGTCGGTGGATCCATTGCAACGGTTACAGCTGCTTGCAGCAATTGCGGAAGCATGCCAAGAAAAGAAGGGCGGTGCTTTGGCCTCTACAGTACATGGTTTCCTAAGCAGTGGCAATCCGATGATTAAACATGTGGCCAAAGAACTATTAGTTGCCATATGTGGACCATTGTATCAAATGTTGACCAAATGGTTACTTGAAGGTGAAATATGTGATCCACATGGTGAATTTTTTATTGAATGTCTGGTAGAAGTGGGTCCAGATCGCCTCTGGCACGACAAGTATCGGGTGCGTTCTTCTATGTTGCCGAATTTCGTGACCACCGATATGGCCAATAAAATTTTAGTTACCGGTAAAAGTATAAATTTCCTGTGTGAAATATGCGAGGACAAGCAGCCGGTAAAGGGTAGAGATGAACTAAGGCAATGCATAGAAGAAAATGGTAAACATAGATACAAACATATTTATATTCTGCAGACTTCAATTTTAAATAAATATTTTCTTTTAGCCGAGCATATATTCTCCGCCGTGGCAGATACTAAACTCCACTCCATTATTGATTCAATTTATTTGAATACATCCAAACGGGTGTTGGACATTGTTATGGGCCCGCATAAACTATTGGAACATCTACAGGCTATGCGACGTTATTTGCTGCTGGGTCAAGGCGATTTTATTGGCATTTTAATGGAGAACTTAAAGTAATTAAATAGAAAATGTAATTTAATTATTTTATAATACTTTAACCATTTTCATTTCTTCTCTTTTATAGATCGGAATTAGACAAGCCAGCCAAAGAATTATATTCCTATGATTTGTCTTCCATTATGGATGCTGCCATCCGATCAACAAATGCCCAATATGATGATCCAGAAATTCTCAATCATTTGGATGTAAGATTAATGTCACCATGTGATGGTGATATTGGTTGGGATATTCTATCGTTGCAGTATACTGTAAGGGGTCCCCTTGCCACAATGCTGGAGCCTTCAATGCGCATTTATCAAGTTCTCTTTAAGCCCCTTTGGCGTATGAAACATATGGAATTTGTTTTGTCATCAAAAATATGGAAGGATCAAAAATGCAATTCAAAGGTAAGATGAGACAAAGATAGTACATATTTTCGCGATAAATTCTTGTTGTGGAAATATAAATGTTTCTGTGAAAAGTATTGCAAATTAGAATTATGAGAACTTGTACAAATGTATGTGCGTAAAAACCGAGATTATTTAACTTCGCGATGCAGCCTAATCCGCATCAGATTAAATATTTTATTTGGTATGTACCCCGAGTATTAAAATTTGATTGTTAATCTTTGAAATAGGTATAACATGATATTCAAGTTCAATGGTATGAGAAATTATTTAATGGAAACGTTTAAATAAAGAGAGTCTGATACCGAATTGCTCAGATATTGAGATCGTAATTAATCCATTGAACTTGACTATCAAGTTATACCTATTTCAAAGATTAACAATCAAATTTTAATACTCGGGGTAAATACCAAATAAAATATTTAATCTGATGCGATCAATTGTTGATAAGAATATTTTACAGATAACAAATCAGGCGGGGGCTAAAGTCTAGTTAACAGAGCGACAAAAAAATAATAGTCATTCAAATGCAATATTTTTTTATTTTATAGTTATTAACAGTCATTCAAATGCTATGTTTTATAATTGTTAAAACGGGATGAAAAAATTTAAAACCAGTGAGCGGAGCAGTATAGTCGGACGGGGCCGACCATGCGATACCCTACACAACTACCACGAACTCTAACTTTCTGAGGATGTTTATTCCGAGTCTGAGTAATATTTCGTGATATTTGCCCCCTCTTGTTCGATTAGAGGTTAACAACACCTCTTCCTTACTTTTTTCGAATATTCAGTACAGTCCTTCTAATTACTTGTCCAGATTACCTTCACGGTGGGTTGTGTTGTGATTTTCGGATTATACTCTATTATGTTTACGGTCCATTTCATCCCAAAATTTTAATCTGATCATCACCGAAAATTGTAGGCGTTGTTCTTGACCATAACTGGAACTTCATGAAAAATTTCAAAGCCATCAGCGCGATATTTCTCCCTCTAATGTGGTAATGGGTTACTAAATAATATCTGAATACGTAAGCACCTGTAAATATCTGTAACTCCCACATCTGAGTAGATACATCACTATATTTGGTATCAATTTAAAGGCCAACCACTCCTCTTGGATATGCTATCAAATCCTGGGGACTACATCCTCCAGGAGTAAATATATATGCCATAGAATACAAATTTTGTCATTTTTCACACAAAAGTCAGGGTCCATTTGACCCGCTAAATATTGACCGATCTTTATCAAAACATGCGTGCTTATTCTCTGGCCCGATCCCCTTCTCCATGCAAAAATTCGCGGTGTTTGGGCCATAATTGCGGCCTCTGGAGCGACCAGAAAAACCGACAAAAATTTAGTATTTGGTCCATTTCATCCCCTAAACATTAACCGATCTTTTCCAAAAACAATAGGGGTCTTCATTGGCCAGAACCCATCCTACATGCAAAATTTGGTGAAGATTGGTCCATAACGGTGGCCTGTATCGTGTTTACAAATTATAATGGACAGACGGACGGACGGACGGACGGACACACATGTCTAGATCGACTCAGCTAGTCGAGATATGACGATCGGTATACTTAAAGGTGGGTCTAGGACCAATATTTCGCGGCGTTACAAACATTTGGGGCTGCACAAAGCTATAATACCCTGACAACATAGTTGTGTAGGGTATAAAAATATATTTAAAATTGGAAAAGAGAAAATAAAAAACTACTTTGTGTCTCATCGAAATATTGGTTTTAGACACTATATTTCTTTGGGCCAAATCCGTTTCAGACAATTTGGAGTCGATTTACACAGGTCCGTCCGTCTGTCTGGCTGGTGTGCACGATAACTCTCGAAGGGCTTAACAGATTTCATCAAAACTTTGCACGTGGTAATATTTTTTTCAAACTTAAAACAAGTTTGAATAAGGGGAATATCAGTCCACTTTTTGTGGTACCTCCCCCAAAAATTGTCAAAATTTTGCTAAAAAATAATGTTACAATATCATGCGAACGGACTATGCGATTTGAACCAAACATTGTACAACCTAATATTTTTACCAAGCGTTCATATGTTTGGAAAGTGGGATTTATCGTCTCATCCTTTCCAGTACTACCCCCACAGTGGGTCAAATTTTATATTTTTACCAATCCTAGATCAAGTCCGACGATGGGACCCATCGTTCCACTCTGGTTTAAGACAATATAAATTGCATGGAACGTCAGATTTGACCCAAAATCGTAAAATTTTTACGATAAACTAAGGCAATATATAGATCAACAAGTTCGAAGATGTGACCCATTAATTCACTTCTTCTGATACCTTCCCCACAAAGTGTCAAATTATTGAAAATTTGTTAATTCGATATCAAACGAATAGAATCTCCGATTTGATTCAAACTTTGCATATTATAATACTTTTACCCGAAGATGGGACCCTCTGGTACCCCACAAACATTGAAACATATATTTCTATGGAACAATCTTTCTGATGTCTCTCTTACAGGTCGTAAAGTATTTGATAAAAAAACATATACCTTATAGAAAGGGAATAATAAAACGAGTGTGTAGTTATTCCGTAGACCACCGCAAACCATAAGCTGGGGTTTTCATCTGTCGCCAACACCAAATGACACTTTTTTACTTGTTGTATTAGGTTTTGATAATTTTTATTCGTTGTGAGATATCAATTTTTGATCCATTTTCGTCAATGTCAGACTTTCAAATGAACATACAGATGTCTAATCCTATACTTCTGAAACCACGAAATGGATAACCCTGTATTATTTCGAAGTACATGATCTAAGTGATGCACGTAATACGTAATATTTCTCCTATTGTGTTTTCATTGAATTACTTCCTTACATAGCTGGCTTGTGACAGAACTTTCGTTCCGGCTTATGGAAAAAAATGTTAAAAAAAATTTCCATATTCCGCAAAGTTGTCTTCCATTTGGTCTTTCCATCTTATTCGTGGCCTTCCCCTTCTGCGTCAACCATGAGCTGGTTCGCTTTTATATGTCTTATGGGCTGGGGCATCTTCATCCATTCTCACAACATGATCTAGCCGACGTAGTCGCTGCAGCCCAATACGTCTAACAATGTCTATGTCCGAGAATAATACAACTCATGGTTCATTCGACGGCGATATTCACCGTCAACGCAGATCGGTCCATAGATCTTTCGGAGAATTATTCTCTCAAACACTCCAAGAGCTGCTTCATCTGCTTGCGCAAGTACCCATGCTTCAGATTCCTATATAGCAGGAAAACTGATGTCATTCGTTTTATGGCGGTACCATTATTATCCACATTTTTATTTAATTTTGACCAATATGTGTCAAAGTCTCTTCATCTGCCCAATCGAGTGGATATTTTACATATTGAATTAAGTCGATATATATGTATTGTTATAGTTGCAATAAAAACGATCCTCAAAGGAGCGACACTTTGGCAGTACCCACTGTGGTGTTTAAAAATAGAATTTTAACCTTTTGCAATAACTGGTTAACTGGTGTCCAAATTTCTTGTAACATATCCTTTTCTCTAAACGAAATTTGTAAAGGTCATTGTTGTCAATTGAATTGAATTACTCGTGGACAATGCCAATATATTATTAAAGAAAAAATATACCACATTGTGTGGAAAAGTGCTTGATAAATGATTTACAATCTAAACACAATATAGGGATAAGATTACTAATCTAATCCTTAGTGTTGTGGTCAAATTGCAAAAAAATATTCTTATCTCATCACTACTTTACCAACTATACTCATATCAAAGTACAATGATATTCTTTTTTCTTATTTTTTGATAATAGTTTTCATTTGGTTCTATAAAAAATTTATACTTTATTATTACACATCAAAAACATTAACATTTTTGTTTTGCAAATATACACAACATACATTTATCCCATATATATTAATGTTTCATTATAGAAAACAACACTACAAAATGTATTTAAAACTAAATTACTATTCTTATATATTTATATAAAAAAAGAGAAAGGAATTTTCTTTTATAAGCAGCAGGTATGGTTTTTTTGATGATTGTTTTTCTTTTTGTTAATTTATTGTTGTTCTTGATTGTTCCTCGAGTTTACAACTTAGCCTTGGCAGCTTGCAACAAGGGTGCCAATTTTTGGGTCAACATAATGTTGCCGGCAATTTTTAGTTTACCCTTCATGAAAGCGGCTTGAGGGTTCAATTTACCCAAACCAATATCAACCATATCTTCATCGGATACAGTGAGGGTGGTATCAACTTTGATGCCTTGGGCTGGACCTTCATAGGCCTTGGCGTTCTTCAAATCCAAAGCTATAAAATAAAGAGAACAAAATCATTAATTATATATCACCATAGTTTCTCCAACCAAATATTGTCAAGTCATTGAGGGGGTTTGTGAAACAGAATGTTAAGGAAAAAGTTACTAATCGTCGATACTAATGGCAAGTGTTTGCCTAGTGCTAGAGCGGTGCTAATGTATTTGTTTAAATGCTATCGAAAACGCCCTTTGTCCCCCGCCGTTAACAAAACACACACACAATTTTGTAATTTATTCCATGCATTTCAATTATACATAAATTGTGGACTTTGTGGTCTCAATACTACTTACTCCATTCCTTGACAACTTTGCCATCCTTGGTGATTTTGTAGAGGAAAACACCGTTGACAGCCTTAGCTTTGGCTTCATTGCCCTTAAGACCATCAATGATTTGTTGGAAGATAGCATCAGAACCGAGAGCCATTGTTGTTTATTTTTTATATTTGCAAACTAGAATTGATTGTAAAAAAGAAAATTATAATATTGAATTAAAAGTTATTTTCACTTTTTTTGTTCTTCTTATTGGCCTTTGGCACTTCTCGCTTCGTCGTTATTATAACAATTTTATTTTCTACGAATATACACACAGATGTATGCTGTCACCACTACCAACTATTGTAATGCTTACTCTTTGAATGGACAATGTTAAATGTGATTGGCGGTGCGGGTTCTCCTACGTTTATATGTTAACATAGAAGTATTTCTGCGCTCTCACTCTCCCTCTTTCACAATCAAGCTGTCATGTTATGTTATCACTTTGTTCAGGTGTTGTTTTATTTCTTTTTATTATTCTGTTAAATAGTAATGGCAATACTAGCCAATACATTTTAACAGTAATGGTTTTCGGCAAATTATTCTTGAATATTTAAATAATACTTACAATTTTTTTATTATTAGCTAGTTTCTTTTATTTCCACAGAAATAATTTCGCCAAAAAATAATGTAAATAAACAGTTTCTGTGTAGCAATTACTTACTCTGTTACTTTCTCTCTCTCTCTCTCTGTCTGCATCAATCATATGTTCTTCACACAATTGGACTCTGTTATTTTTTGACATTTGACTTGCTGGTGATGTTGTTAACTTGTTTTTTTTTGTCGATAACCGATTGTAGATTATTATTTAAATAACCATATGCCTTTTTAGATAAGATTTGTTAAATAAAATTCCAGCAAAAATATATAAAAAATGAACCAAAGTTGTAGTTGGTGTTTAACCTTTGCTTCTGTTCAAATGATAACCACCAACAATGCATAATTGTTTCGTAGTAAGGTTCTTTTTATAACCATCCTCCAGCATAAGGTGGAGTTTATATTAAATTGTTCATTCCGTTTGCAAAATCTCGAAATATTCCACCTTAGGCCTCATATAGTATATAGATTCTTGATCAGAATAAAAATTGTATGTCGATTTATGCCCGACCGTCTGTTGAAATTACAATGGACTTGTAATATTTAATTTATATATTTATGATAGAGCTTAGACATATTGTACATACATTGTTACTACTTCTAGGATGTTTGGCATTGAAGATGTGCAATATCGGTACACGTTTTAGTATAGAGCCCTATATGAATACGGTGCTGAAATGTTGCATAGGGTAGTCTTTCCTCTGCAGGCAGGTCAAGTTCAAAGATGGGATATATCCTCCCATATTTCGGTATTTTGGGGTTCTTAAGGGCGGGTTTTTCAACTAATTCGGTGAAATTTCTCCACTAAAAATTATAAATATAGGTCAACTTTTTCTGGTAGCTCCCGTATAAGGATATCCCCCAATTTTTAGCATTTTGGGGGTTTTGATCGTATTTTTGACAAAATTGGCTGTAATTTAGTACTTAGAGTTATTATGGGGTTGCTACCCACTATAAATATAGGTCCACTTTTTTCCAATAGCCCCCAATTTTCTTTGTTTTGGGGTTCCTGAGCGCATTTTTCTACCGAATCCTAATGTTGATACATAAGGTTTTATTGGGTATCAAAGTTCTCCACTTAAAATTATAAATATAAGTGTATTTTTTCTGTTAGGCCCCCTATAACAGTACCCCAAATATTCACCGAATTTTTCGCACGAATTGTATGTAATTTAGAACTTTCTGGTAGCTCCCATATGACTTTATCCCCAAAATTTTCAGTATTTTGGAGGTATTGAGCGTGTTTTTAAACTGATTCCGCTGAAATTTGATAGATTGGGTTTTTATTGGGTATCGAAGCTGAACGTTATACACCAATTTTCAGTATTTTGGGGGTTTTGAGCGCGCTTTTCCACCGAATCCGCTTAAATTTGATACATTGGGTTTTTATTGGGTATCAAGTTCTCCACTTAAAATTATAAATATAGGTCCACTTTTTTCTGGTAGCTCCCATATAACGGTATCCCCACTTAAAATTATAAATAGAGGTCCATTTTTTTGGTAGCCCCCCTATAAAAGTACCTCAAATTATCAGTTTTTGGAAGGTTTTGACTGAATTTTCCGAATTGGCTGCAATTTTCTACTTAGAGTTATTGGCTAGCAAATCTCTCCCCTAAAAATTATAAATATAGGTCCACTTTTTCCGGTAGCCCCCATATAACGGTACCCCCAATTTTCGTTACTTTGGGGTTACTGAGCGCATTTTTCAAGCGATTCCTTTGAAATTTGGTACATTGGGTTTTAATTGGGTATCAAAGTTCTCCATATTTCGTTATTTTGGGGTTCTTGAGGGCGTTTTTCAAGCGAATCCACTGAAATTTGGTACATTGGATATCAAATTTCTCTACAAAAATTATATAGGTCCACTTTTTCTGGTAACCCCCCTATAACAGTACCTCAAATTTTGCGTTTTTGGGAGGTTTTGACCGAATTTTTCGCCCGAATTGGCTGTAATTTAGTTCTTAGAGTTATTATTGGGTAGCAAATCTCTCCCCTAAAAATTATATATATATAGGCCCACTTTTTCTGGTAGCTCCCTTATGACGTTATACACCAATTTTCAGTATTTTGGGGGTTTTGAGCGCGCTTTTCCACCGAATCCGCTTAAATTTGATACATTGGGTTTTTATTTGATACATATAGGTCCACTTTTTTCTGGTAGCTCCCATATAACGGTATCCCTCAAATTGCACTTTGCCTTCTTATAGGGTAGCAAATCTCTCCACTAAAAACTAAAAATATAGGTCCACTTTTTATTATTATTATATATATATTTTTTTTTATTTTTATAATATATATTTTTTATTATTATATATACGTCGGGTTTGAAAATGAGCTACACCTACCCATTTAATATTTATCCTGAAGGAAGGTATTGGGATACAAAACTAAAATATTTGTAGTTGGTGTTCAACAATCGTTTGGTAGAATTTTCCTTATAGTTCCACATTTTGGTATTTTCATTTCAAGTATCTGTCAGTATTCCTATGGTGGAGGGTATCCAATGTTCGGCTCGACCGAACTTAACGCATTTTAACCTACGCTAACACCATTTATCAAAAGTTTAATTATTAACCTTCCTCTCTATCTTCTTTTTACCACAGCCGCTGCGACCAATGGCCGCTGAATTGGATAAAGTCCTATATCGTCTGCACTTGTTCACCTCCGAAATGATACATTTCATACATCAAATGCAATATTATATACTCTTCGAAGTTATCGAATGTTCCTGGGCTGAGCTGCAAGAAAAAGTGCAAAATGCCAAAGCTCTGGATGACATACTCAACGCTCACGATGAATTTCTAACCACCATTAAATGTGGAGCATTTTTAGATTCAACGTCTGGTGATTTATGTCACAATATGGAAACCGTTTACGAGGCTATTGTACGCCTCGAAGTGTGGCAGGATAAATTCTATGAGTTGTGCTTCCGTGAATTGAATGCACGCAAAGAATTCGATAAAGATGTTTTGGAATCGGAGAAACTGGGTAAATTTGGCGTCACCGCTGAAAAGAAATTGGAACGTGATCAGGAACATAAAATATTTGAACAAACGTTGAGCAGTTATCACAAGTCGCTGGAAAATATTGGTGGTGACTATGAAACGGCAGTGCGTTGCTTCCTACTGGCGCTCAATTCAAATAATGATCATAATTTGCAATTATTTGGCATACGTTTGGATTTCAATGAATACTACAAGAAGCGAGATCAACGTTTGGGTGTCCCGCTGACATTCGAGCATATGCGTATGAGTAATATTTATTTCAATAACAGTAAAAGTCTATTGGGCAGTCGTATAAATTGACGGCACAATGAGTGGCAATTGGAGATGAAGTGGGAGATGAAGAAGCGGAATATGGAAGAGGATTGTGATGATGTTGCAACCATTAAAAATAATATGCCCTCTTCTAACGATGTTGTCTATGTTCGTCAATGTTCCACAATGCCCCAAGAAACATATTTATTTAATTCAAATCGACGAGTCCACCATAATGTTTTGAAAAGGGAGAAACTGGAGAAACATCATAAATCAGAAGAAACGCAATTACTTAAATTTCTTCTAAAAAAATATCACCATTTATTTATTAGTGCCAATAGTTTTAAGAGTCAGCCGCCTTATGAACAATTTACCTGCTTGCAAAGAAACGAGAATAAAAAATGTGCTTATGCCAATCAGAGAACCGATAATCATGTTAGTGATGACGATACTGGTGATAACGATGATGATCATGGTAATATGAAACGTCCCTTGATTTTAAAAGAAAATCAATTTTATGCGCCTAGGAAAGATATGATTTTACAAACATGTTGTCGTATATTGTGAACACAAGCAATGAAGAAGTAACAAGAAAAAGAAAAATAAAATGTTTGAAATCTCTTAAAACAAATATATTGAATGAAAACTAAAATAAAAAAATAAAACAATAATTCAAGGTTAAGATTCGTATATCCTTTATTGAACATTCCAAAGGATACAATCTATGGAAATTGATCAAAAACGGTTTAGATTTGTATATATCTGTCAAATATATTTTCAACCCATTTCAGGCGAATTGTGCACCGAAGACCTTGTGTTGATTTGCACACAACGTGATTTGGTTGAACCCGCTTCAGATGTGGATAAAACTATTATTATTATTTCGTTCGATTTTATAAAAATGGTGCGACAAATATCCAATGTTCGATTCGATTGAGTTGAAATTTTGTACATGGGGATTTAAGACTTTGGTGAGTATATAATAACCCCAGAAGGAAAAAAATCGTCATAGCCCCTGTTATACATGAATAGATAGCTTCATATTTTTATTCGTAGCTATTGCATGTATAAAATTATGTTGTCTAGAATTCTGAAATTTGGAATGTGGGTCACTAATGGAAATTTAGAAAGATGTACAAAAGGGTTTAGAAATTAGACCTACAAGTGTTCTAAAAAAAAATTGTATATGGAATACAGGTTGGATTGTGGTGTTGATGTATGGAAATGTTTTAAGATATTCGTACTTATGGGTATAAAAAGTACTAAGTGGTACTAAATATGTTACTATTTGCCTTTAGTTGAGTGTAAAGATATGTAACCCTGAAAATAGGAATTAGGACTACTATTGGTACAGGGTTGTGGTACCTTTAAAAATCGTACTTATGTGTACGAAAAGTACTAAATGGGACTAAATTTGGTACAAGTGGGATTTAGGTGAACAGATAGAGCTAGAGTCTTCAAATTGGGAAATAAAATGACTGACGGAGTGTAGGATTGAGGTAGTTTAGTAAATTCGTACTTATTGGTACGAAAAGTACTATATGGTACCAAATTTAGTTCATTTTGGATTTTGCTTGAAAGGATAGAGCTGAAAACCTGAAATTTGGAATTAAGATTACTGTTGAAGATTGAGACATCTTTGGAAAATTGTATTTATGTGTACGAAAAGTACTAAATTGGTACTATATTTGGTACAACTTGATTATGTGTGAACGGATGGAGCTGGTCCCCAAAAATTTTGGAATTAAAATTACTGTTGGAGTGTATTGTATTTGTGTGAACGAATAGGGCTGAGATTCTGAAATTTTGAATTCATATTACAGATTGAGTGCAGGATTGAGATATGTCGGCTGTTTTGAAAATTCGTCATTATGTGTACTAAATGGTACAATTTAGATTTTAGTAAACGGATAGAGATGGAAAATTTTAATTTGGAATGAAAATTACAAAATTAAAGTAGTATTCGAATTTCGTACTTATGGATACGAGAAACACTAAATGGTACTAAATATGGAACAACTCGTTTTGTGTGAGCGGTAATTTTAAAATTTTGAATTAAAATTAAGGTTGGAATGTAGGATGACCAATGGAGGTATTTTTAAAAAATGCTTATTTAGATTTGAGTGAAAGGATATAGATGGATGGATTTGAAAATAAAATTACTCTTATAGTAAAGGATTGAGCCAGTGTTGGAAATTCGAACTCATAAGTAGGAAAAGTACTAAATGGTACTAAATATGGTACAATTTGAAATTTATGAATAAAATAACTCTTTCAGTGTGGAATTGAGGCAGTTTTAGAAACTCGTACTTACATCTACGAAAAGTAATAAATGGTACTAAATTAGTTGGTAAACGGATAGAGCTGGAATCTTTAAATGTTGATTTAAGGTTATTATTGGAGTGCATGACTGAGGTATATTTGGAAATTCGTACTTTGGGTATGACAAGCACAAAATATGGTACAATTTGGACTTTGGTGAACGGCTAGAATTCGAATCCTGAACGTTGCAACTTTGGTTACTCTTGGAGTGTAGGAAAAATACAGAATGGTACCAAATATGGTACAATTTAGTGAACAGATAGAGCTGCAATTCTTAAATTTGGACTTACGATTGAAAGCAGGTTTGGAATATTGAGATTGGTTTGGTATATGGGTACGAAAATACAGAATGGTACCAAATCTGGTATAATTTGGTTTTTAATGAACAGACAGAGCTGGAATTCTTAAATTTGGACTACTTGAAAGAAGGATTGAGGTACATTTGGAAATGTTTACTTATGAGTACGAAATGTACTAAATTTGGTACAATTTGAACTTTTGTGTAAGTAAGATTACTTTTAGAGTTTAGATTTGATGTAGTTTTAGAAATTCTTACTTATGAGTACGAAAATTACTAAATGGTACTTAATTTGAATAAATTTGGATTTGGTTGAATCCTGAGTGTAGTATTGAGCTATGGAGACGCGGAGTTTTGTTTACCAATAGTAAATAGAATAGAAAATTCACTAAATTTTGAACAATTTGGATTTGGGTAACGGAGAGAGCTGGAAAACTGAAATTTAGAATGTTGGTCACTGACAGAGAGTTAGAAAGAAGGACCAAAGGGTTTTTGGTACTAATGTTTGTGGTGGTGATGGTAGAGGTAGTCTTGAAATTTTATATTTATGTGTTCGAAAAATTATAAATGGAACTACATGTGGAACCTGTACGTTTTGGCTAAAGTGTGTAATGAAAATAAGAAAGAGATTTCGGAAAATAGTGCTTATGTGTATGAATCTTTTTTCAACCACCATTTTCGAAAATTCGAATCCGCATCTCGCATTTTTTTCTTCTCCCTATTCATTCAGAATAGGTCGAGAATGTGAAAGCGAACTTTTTTTGACAAGCGAGATATCTCCCTAGCGAATATCCAGAAAACGGCTGATTATTTTTAATTTGGGTATTATATTTATTTATTTATTATAGTATTAACATTGTAGTAAATACAATGCTAATAATAAAAGTATCTAGCATTGGCTACAATGGCCATCAGCTAAATCGGTTGACAATTCTTAATAATTTTATTAAATAGTAATTTTAAGATGACGTATGTAGTTAAATATCTTATTAATATTGACAGTAGTAGGTGATATTAAAATATTCGTTCCATCGTTGTTGAGGTAGTTGAGGCGGGCTCTGTCGAAAGCGTTGCATGTTTCTAAAATATGTTGTGCTGTGTAGACATTTCCACATTTGGGACACTTGTTGTCAAAACTTGTGTTAATGAGATGTTGGTGTGTGGCAATAGTATGACCCATTCGAAGTCTCGAAAATATGCGCACTTGCTTTTTAGGTACATTGGTAGGATAGACGGGCACTATGCAGTTAGGATTTATTTTGTTATAGTGCACATGTTCAAATAACATGTGTTGTTGTTTAGCATTTTGTTTAAGTTTGTGTTTTATAAATGTTTTTAAATCTATTTTTTCGATTATTCCATCTAACAACACTGGAGCGGTGCAGGCGTACTTTGCTGCTTTATCGGCGTTTTCGTTTCCTTCAATTCCAACGTGACCAGGTACCCAGAAAAGTTTTATGTAGTTGTTCTCGGTTAGCAAATCCCGAATTTTGTTAATTGAAGCCCAACTGTTGTTTGATGTACATAACACCGATTTTAGAACCGATAAACTGTCGGAAATAATTATTGTTTCTTGTTGTGAATGGATTGCAATATTGATAGATTCTATAATGCCAGCAGCTTCGGCCGTGAAGATAGATGAAAAATCAGCAAGGGTTTTAATGGATAGAGTATCACCATTGGAATCAACAACTGCGTATGCGGAGACTGAGTTTGTTTTAGAGGCATCAGTGTATAAGAACTGCCAAGACGAGTGCTGCAAGGAAAAAAATCGAAAATGGTGTGCGTATATTTCGTTTGAAGTTCCATTTTTTCCTAGAATGCTGAGAGATGTATCGCACGATTTGTCCGAAAAAAGCCATGAAGGGCATTTAGGTTTAAAACATGTAACCTTATCCCTAAAGTTTACTATGTTATTCCTAATAGAATAGTAAACAACTGATGTTTTTTTTAGGTTTTCGTTTTGTTTTTAAAATTTTCGATACATCAGTGTTAATAACGGAAGACTTGGATGACAGGATTTTAGGCAGTAACATATTCCTAGACTCGAGAATTCTATGCTCGAGAGAAGGCAATCCAGATTCAATCAGTAAGGTTTTGATGGGAGTAGTTCTATATGCGTATGTGCTGGCCCTGATGCTATCGTGGTATACGGCTTTAATAAGTTTCAAAGTTGAAACAGGACTGTCCCCAAAAAGGTACAAACCGTAGTCAATTTTGCTTAGCACCAATGTCTTTACCAAGTAAGTAAGGGTGTTGATGTGGGCGAAACTTTTATGTGAAAGGTACTTTATAATGTTTAAACGGGGTATAAGGTCATTTTTTAATTTAAGTATGTGTTCGTTCCACCGATAGTTTTTTTGAAAAATTACACCCAGGATCTTAAGCTTCTTGACGTAGGGAATGCTAACCAGAGATGGTCCGTCAGAAATAGTGACGTAAATGAC